GATGTCGTCAGTTATGCTTGAACGTCTGGCGCGGGTTGAGGATAGGAATCGAGGGCGACGCGGCTCGGAAACATCGAAGAAGAAGATGCCGTCCTGGTCGCTCAGCAGGCTCAGCAGACCGCCACACGCCAGGATGTTGCGGTTCTCCGTGACCAGGCCGCAGTGGTGCGGCTCGTTTCCGATGTTCCCGGGCGGTGGCAGAGGGACCGTGAGCACTACCTTGCCGTAGTCACGGGAGAGCTCATCGAACTCGATGACGGCCAGGAAGTCGGGGCGTAGCCGCGCCTCGTCGCCGGCGAACACGTAGAGCGTAGCCTCGGTGTCATTGTTTGGGACGCGCCAGGGCGTGGCGATGCAGCCCGGTGAGCACTCCTGGTGGAGGACCCGGCTTGATTTGTACTGGTGGAGGTCGGCCGCCACGAGTACTCCTCTGACTGAGCTGCCCTGGAGTAGGTGGACGTCACGCTGGGGGGCCAGCAGCGAACCGCCGAACGGGACGGGACCTTCGACCTCCACCTTCGGCCCTTGGCCGGCCAACGCGACCACCAGCTTGTTGCTCGGATGAGGGAATCCGTCGGCGGGCATCTTGATCCTGAGGGACTGGGCGCTACCGTCCTGGTCGATCACCACCACCAACTCCTGGTCTTCCGCGACGTAGGCCTTGGTGAAGTAGTGCGCCGAGTTCCACTGCTCCAAGGGCACGCGGAACACCAGACGTCTGGTGCCTTCCGCCCAGCGAGGACCGGTGAAGTGGAGCCCGCCGTGCAACAGGGTCACTGAGCCGGCGCCGGTGGCCTGGGCGTCGCTGGCCATGTCGCTGGTGAAGCCGTCAAAGTAGGAGAAGGCATCGTCGAAGAACGAAATCAAGCAGTTGGAGGCAAGGTCGCAGCCGCCCACGGTCTGTCGTTGGAGAGACTTGCCCAAGTCCAGCTGCATGGCTCCCTCGTTGGTAGAGGTTACCAGCAAGCCGCCGCCGCTCACGCTGCCCGAGCGCCACGTCACCGACTCTCCGCCTATCACCACCGAGTAGCGCTGCTGGCGCACGTTGCGCGCACCGCTGATGCTGAAGGTCCCGGAGATCGACACATTGTGTTGGACTGCCAGACGGCCTCTGATGCTGGAGCCACCACCTGACGCTTTGAAGTTGCCGAACGAGATCAGGTTGAAGTCTGAAAATCTAGAAGAAATGAGAGGGTATTAGATTTTATGGTTTACATTGAGTTTTATATCGAGACTTAGTAGCAACGTGTGCATGGATTCACGAGGGTACCTGTAGCCATCGAGTGGACCATCAAAGACGGTTGGTGAGCCATCGGATAGTTCCAGTGGACAGGTTTTGGCAGGTTTGACCGTTCGTTGCCCGTTGGTGGCAGAGAGCGCCCACAGGCAACAACAGATTACGAGAGTGAGCCAGCGCTTACCCATAGCGGCCTCGCCTACTCTTTCTCAATCCTCAAGTGCCGGAGCTTGGAGATGAGGGGATTTGCAGTTGAGGCTGTTCTTGAACACTTCGAAAAAATAACCTTATTAAGATCTTGCACGGAACTTAGCTGTTAACCTTTGAATCATCATCTGGGAGGTGGCAGGTACACACCCACGTGCGGGCACTCGCCGGCGAGCTTCTCCTTGAAGTAGGCGTACAGCGTTGTGAGTGATCGCGATCTAGTAAAAGGTACTTGGATGACATCTTCCTCTTCCGCAGCACAAGCAGCAAACTCCTCGGGCATCTTCTTAGCTGGAAGGCGCACAGGCGTGAGCCCTCCATGATCCCTCTCCTGTGCGTGCAGTGCCGTACCGATTTCCTCGTAGGTCATGCCATCACACTTGCCTGCATAGATTTCGTCCAAGCAACGCAGTTGGTCTTGCGCTGTGGCAGGTACTATAGTACGGTTACATTACTGCCTGCAGCAGTAATATGTTTAATCATTTATTCTTTTTGTTACCATGTAACGAAGACAAGAAATAAATGATTAAACAAGTCCACGGATAATCAGTCTTCTTTTTCCTCTGTTCCTGCTGAATTGTCCATTGTGCGGAATCGCCATGCGTTCCAGCCTGAGGTCATGTCAATCTCAATCAAGGAGTTCAACAAGGTGAAAGCAGAGCTTTGGGCTCTTGTCATCTCCCTCTGCAAGGGCAAAGACATCCCTGGCTCTGATGATTCCCCTCAAATGAGGAGGCTGTGCACATGAAACAACTCAGGGCCTGCTATAAGGCCCTCAAGGTGGTCCTATGACTCTGTGTTGGTGGCCAGTCTTCATCTGGAAGCAAGTGCCACCTTCCTGGACACCACATACACCACCCTCTACACCACCTGCAGCCTGCTCAAGCAACAAGAATGGTTGCAGGCAGAACAAGGGCTCCAACAACTTGAACCACCAGGGCAATGGGGCACACCTCAATTCTGTGTACCTACAGAGAAGATCTGAGCTGTCCACCACAACATTGACTGTCTTTTCATGACCATGCCAACAAGAGGACTGTCCCAGTCCACTGCCTGGCAGTGGTGGCAGGACTCTGCATCTCACTGGCCAAAGCTGTACTCCCAGCCCCGCTCATGCTATGAAACATCTACTGAGCAATCACTCAATGCTCATTGTGGCAAGACTCAATCCCAATTCCCCTGGCCACAATAAGCAACCTGGAGGAGTGGATAGATGGTCTCCAACAGTGGAAGGGCAACATCACCCTACCTCACCCCACCAATCTTGTTGTCAAGACCAATGCATCCCTGCTTGGCTGGGGGGCCACTGCAACATGCAGGACCCTTACATCAGCAGGCTGGTGGAGTCACAAGGGCTGCCACATCAACAAGCTGGAGCTACTTGCCATGTGGAAGGTGTGCTGAGCATTTGGCCATCACCTCCATGGGTGAGCAGTCCAATTCTGATCTGACAATGTGATGACTGTCACCTACCTGCACCAGGATGGGTGGACAGAGCCCACACCTCAACTGGATCCTCTGCTAACACTGTGTCCAGAAAAAGGTGCCAGTGGCACCTTTTGTTAAGTAAAATCTGTACAAGTGATATATGTGTATGTGCAGTGAAAGCAGTACTTTTGTGAACATGGTGTGTGAGTGGTTTTGGCAAATTATGTACAGAGAGTGGCAAAACAGGGAAAAATGGTGTAGGTCATGGTAAAAGCAGATGGGGCCAATGAAGAATTTCAAGGCATAAGTGTAAAAAAGGGCAAATGTATTTTGTTGGAATGAGGAACAGAACAGAGTGGAGGGAAACATTAGCCAATGGACTTCCACACTTTCCATGGACTGGAAGAGGAGGAGGAGCTGGTCTTGGGTGTGAGAGGGGCAAGGGCAGGATGTGAAGTTAGGCCTTGTAGGAAGGAAGTGATGGCTGTGAGATCTGACTCCTCCAGGAATTTAGAGTGGAAGGTGAGGAGCCAGTTGCCAAGAGAGGAGATGTTGCCCTCTGCTATGGGGGAGCTGGAGTAAAGGGCAGCACAGAAGGAGAGGTAGTAGGTGGGATTTGCCTCATAGAGAATGTGGTAGGGGGTGGTGGGCGATGTGATGGGGTGGGGAGAAGGATTGGGAAGCTCTAAGCTCTGGATGAGGAAGCTGTAGAGGCCAATGTGAAGTGGGGTGCGGTCTGATGATTGAGCAGTGAGGAAAGCAGGAGCAGAGCAGACAACCTCACACATTGGGTGTGGGATGGGGATGTGGTGCAGATAGCAGAAGGGTTTGGGGATGGTGTCACTGGCCAGAGGATGCCAGATGGTGGACATGTTAACCCTCTTGTGGCTGAAGATGAGAACATTGAAGCCACTGACAAGAGGTTCAGAGGTGGGCATGGAGCTGGAGTAAGTTGGGGAGCTGTAGTAGAAGTGGAGTAGTCAGAAGACCTGGAGGGTGGAGTGTGACTTGAGTGAGGTGATGGCGTTGGTGATGTTGGAGGGAGATGAGGAGATGTAGAATCTGACACTGTAAGACTTTGATAGGTGAGTTGCTGTGTTGTTGATGTTGAGAGGAATGTCTGCGCTGTGGATGGTAAAGTCATGCATGTAGATTGACACCTGAGGAAGAAAAAAACTGGTGGACAACAGGAATAAGTGAAAAACTGATGTGCATTGGGAAAAGTGTTGACAAATAAAAAACTGATGTGCATCAGGAAAGCAATGTGGGCTGATAAACACACTGGCCATTCATGGAATTGCGTTGGTTGGCCAAGAAGCTTGGTGAGTGGCTTGGTGAATTGGGGGAGATACTTTTTCTGGAGAGCAAGCTCTGCCTTGTGCTTGATGGTAGATGGTGACTTTTCCTCTTCAGCCTTACCCTTGCCACGTTTCTTGGTAGCTGTAAAGAACAAGCATGTGGTGAGCTTGGAACTTTACCAGCAAAATGAAAATGTACTGGTTGGGGTGGTTGGAGTGGTGCCAGAAGCTTCAGTGGCAGTGGGTACCGCAGGCTGAAGTCAGATAATAGTGGTGTAAGTGAAAGTAATGGGGTGTGAATTGGAACAGGAAGGAGTTGATTTGTACCATTTTCCCCTTGGCCAACGCAGAAAGATGCCAGCGCTGTTCACTTGTGGACGTTGAGGCAAGGGATGCCTCCTCTGCTCAAGAAGCTGCAGTGGCACATGCAATCTCCCCTCATAACTGGCAAGGTGTGGTCTCCTCTGCCTCATCACTGAGAAGTTTCAACTGGAACAGGTGCTTGTGGAACATGTTGACAACTTTGGAGGTGATGCTGTGGGGCTGCTTGATCTTGATGTTTTTACTGTGCAGTGCAATGTATTCTGCAATGCAGATCCAGTCCCAGATGTGATGAAGCTCCTCAGGATCTTCACAGCAGCAGTCAGCCTCCATGGCTGCATGAATGGCCTGACAAAAGGCCTCCATCTGCCTTTTGATCATGCTCCAGTGGTTGGTGATTAGTGACCAGAAGTTCTCTGGCAAGAGGGAAGTAGTTAGACCTGTGGGGAGAAGAACAAAAGAACTAAAAAGAAAGGACATACTCTTGGAAGGGGCTTGGTGTTGATAGCACTTATAATGATGAAGCACAGTGATCATGTCATTGGCACTCAATTCCCTGAAGGCACCAGAGTTGAGGTTGTCAAGGGAGATGAACACCTGACCCTCTGGAATGAGGTGATTGAGTTCCTTGATAAGACTGGAAAAGGGGAACAGTTAGTGAGGACTCAAAACAAAGGTGAAGAGTTAGAGTAGAAATAACATACTCCACCACTCCTGGAGCATGGAACAGGGCCCTTAAGGTAGTTGAGTACTTCTGCAGAGTGGTGGGCTTTGGTGCAGCATGACCCTTGAGCGTTTTCTGTGAGGTGTGGGGTGATGAGTAATGGTTTGAAATATGAAGGTGGTGGACATACCAGGTGCTCAGTGAGAGCATTGTAGTCAGTAACAGTTTTTTTGCCACGTGTGATCTGGAAGAGTGGGTTTTGGCCAAGTTCAGGGCCTTCTTGAAAGCATTCAGGACGACTGAGCCCACTGAGTTGATGTAGTTCTTGAAGCTGGAGATGTGGTTGAGGATGATCCAGCTGAGTTCCATCCCTGCAGCTGCTGGCACAACTTCGTAGACATTCTCCCACTGCCAGTGCTTGATGAGGTTCCAGACCACAACTCTGTGGTTACAATTGATGGCCTCTGGAAGCTTAAAAGTTAGTACCCAAAAAAACCAATGCACATTGGGAATTGCAAATAGCCTAAAAACTGAATGGCCATGAGTGCAGCTAAAAACGAACTGGTGTGGGAAGTAATACCAAACTCATTGATGTTGTTTTGGTCAAGGTGCTCATCTTCATTGAGAAATCTAACAATGAAGGGCTTGGTTGTGAGACACCCTCCATCCACAACAGACTGCAGCAAGTGACAAATTCCTGTAACTGTCACTGGGTGATGCTGTTCTGATGGCAGTGCAGGTGGTTAGCAAGTGAAAGCATCTACACATGAATAAAAAGAGGGGTTGTACCAAAGATGGTGCAGTTCTGAATGTCAAGGTGGTGTGATGTGGGTTGAACCCAGGTATGGTGCAAAGTTGAAGGGTTGATGCAATTGAGCTGCTCCTTCTGCTGGTGAATTGCTTGGTTGTTGTGGGTCACCTGAAGGCTGGCACTGATGATGTTGGGGTTGGACTGAAGTGATTGGAAATTTGGGAGTGTATGAATTTTCGTTTCTGAATAGTAAGGTTGAGGTCAGCAACACAAACTGTTAGAGAACATGGTTCTCACAGGTCGAAAATAAAACCAATGCACATCAGGAAAAGAGTTGACAAATAAAAAACCCAATGCGCATCAGGAAAAGAGTCACTTCGTTGCGCCAAAACAGCAACAGAGGGTGTGGACACAGAGAAACAAAAAAAGAAATTTGTTTGCCACAAAAAGAATAAAACAGTAACTGTTTGCGCAGGGGTGAGTGCGCTGCCATGGATTTGTCGCTCGAGCGGGCGCTCAAGATCCTCGAGACGCCCACGGCTGCGGCCCCTGAGACGGTCGAGTTCCGCGAGAGCAGGATCAAGAGCTGCCGACTCATCGCCGCCCATCTGTGCAACCTTGCCCTTCGGTATCAATTCATTCATTGTTTTTTAAATTCTAATTTCTTATGCTATTACTATTTACTGTTGCTCGTGTTACGCATTTGCTACATTATTATATTATATTTAGAGACAATATTCGTGTGTGTGGCTTTGTAGGGCGAATACCGACTTTGCAGCGCAGCTGTCGCGTGGCATCGCTGCCCTCCTGCACACATGCGGCGACAAGGACATGTCCGTGTGGACGGTCGCTGACGAGACCCTCAACAAGGTCATCAAGGTAAGGAAGGCTCTCTTTCGTCCACGTGCAGTGAGCGGCTTTGACAAATCAGTTCCCTGCCACTCACGCCCTCGTAA